TACGTTGTTTTGTGTTTATGTACGGGTGTATGCATGTACGTACACATGTATGCACTTGTCTATACACATCATCATCATTATTGTTTTCATTATAATTATTATTGTTGTTTTTGTTATTGTTATTGGGACAATATTCAATTATAATGATTGCATCTTTATTATTATTATCATCATCATCATCAATATTTTTTTCAGTATTAGTATGGTTTTTGTTATTGTTATTGTTAATGTCACAATAATCAATTATAATGATTTTATTATTATTATTACTGCTATTATATCATTTTATTATTATTATTATTATTATTATTATTATTATTATTATTATTACCATTATTATTATTACTATTGTTATTATTGTTTTCATTATTTCCGTAATTGTTTTGTATTGATTATTATTTTCATTACTGTTATTTCTTATATTATTTTCATATATTTTTACAATTCTTGTTATCATCATCATCATCATTATTATCATTATCAGTATCATTATCAATCATCATCATCATTGTTTTTATTGATATTATCATAATTTTTTTTATTGTTATTATTATTATTATTTTATTATTTTATTTTTTTTGTTTTTTATAATTATTATTATTATTGCTATTATTTTATTGTTATTATCATTATAAGTCTAAGAAAAATGCTTAGACTATCTATTTACTGTTCAAATTTTCAGGTATCCCCGACTTCCGAACTCCTGGCACAGGGCTCTACAGCAATCTGGAGAAATACAATCTTCCCTTCCCAGAAGCCATCTTCGATATTGAATACTTCCGCAACAACCCCAAGCCCTTCTTCGTCCTGGCAAAGGAACTGTATCCAGGAACCTTTGCCCCGACCCCGTCCCACTGGTTCATCCGCTTGCTCCACGACAAAGGCTTGCTTCTAAGGCACTACACCCAGGTATGCTGCGATTCAGGGTAATTGGAAACAGAAGAGAGAGGCATCATGTGATCTTTGTTAAGTTCAGTGTTGGTTTGGGGTGTTGTGTATGTTAGATATGAGTAATGGTTTGATTCTTTCATATTTTTTTACTGGGTAATTTTATACTTAAAGATTTTCTCTTTCTTTCTCTCTCTTTCTCCTTTTAGAATATTGACACCCTGGAGCATGTAGCTGGACTTCCTGCCGACAAAGTAGTAGAGGCCCATGGCACTTTCAGGACCTCCCACTGTCTCAACTGCCGGAAGGAGTACAGTCAGGAGTGGGTCAAAGGTATGAATGCCATCTTATATGCATTATCATTTTGATAGAAGGCATTATCTCATAAGGAAAGTTCTGAGATAAAGTGCAATATATTTATTTCACACTTTACTGGTGGGCACAGCTGTAGCCATCATGGAAAGCCTACCCTTCATGATGTGCATGTGTATACGCATCATTACTTGCTCTAGCAAGCGAATGGACAGAGCTGGCTGTACACAGCAAACACCCTACCTGAAAGGCTAGACAGTTGCCGGTAGTCATGTTGGAATGAGTGCCACACAGAAAATTCTGGCACCGTCAGTGTTGGGACATAGTTCCCATCTCTAGTCATTAGAATTTCACAATTATAGTAATGTGTGAAGACCACAGAAATTCATGCTGAGCTTGTTTTCAGAGGAAATCTTCAAGGACAGCATTCCAACATGCACTGAATGCAGTGGTCTTGTGAAGCCTGACATCATCTTTTTCCGAGAGAGTCTTCCTGTGCGGTTCTTCCAACTCATGCAGTCAGACTTCCCCAAATGCGACCTGCTGATCATCCTTGGAACCTCCTTAACTGTTCAGCCGTTTGCATCTCTTGTTGACAAGTGAGTTTCTCAAAATACTTTTGGAAGTTGGGTGTTTATTGCATGCTTAGTAATAAATGGTCAAAATGAGGAATTCAGATGCATTTCAGTTGTCTGTGTATTTAATACTGGCAGTCAGTAGGAAATTATGTAGTCTTTGTCTCAGCTGGAATGCTTGGCTCCGGTTGTATCACAAAAATCACGGAGCTGGAAACCTGGGCAATGGGTTACCTAAATGGCCAATATCCCGGGAGTGCGGCGTGTAGGCTGGCTTACGCACATTGCATTCCTCATTCGTTTATCGATGGAAATAACACTGAAGCCCCCTTCTAAGTGCCAAATGAGTCAAATCACACTCCAAGAGGTTTGTAGACTCATGGCGATTCCTTCCCGTCACCTTTGTTCATGACAGCAGTTCGCGTCACCCGGGCCGTGGCCAATTTGACTGGTAGACAGCATGTTCACATCACCCGCCCCTCGGCTCAAGTTTTTGTGACTTGACCACAACTTCATCCTGGACCAATAGGTTAAGAGTGTTGATCCTTATAGTGAACACTTGTCTTTTATGTTTTGTCCTGTCAAATCATTCTATGTAGTTATATTAGTCACAATGTGTTTGTTAGAATTTTTCCTCTTTTTGAAGTCATTTTATTATTTTATTTATTTATTTATTTTTTTTTTACAGCGTTCCAGCCATGTGTCCACGTCTGCTCATCAACCGGGAAAAAGCAGGGACAGTGGATCCAATGATGGCAATGTTGCAAGGCATGTTCGGCAGTGCAGGACTTGCTCTTGATTCACCCAACAATATCCGAGATGTTGCTCTGCTTGGTGACTGCGATGAAGGCTGTGTGAAAATGGCAGAGTTCTTAGGATGGAAGGTATGCAAACAAATCAAACCATTCAATAGCTCATCTTTATACACACCTCTCATTGATATACACATTTCTATAACAAGATGTCTATGAACGTGGCACATAGCTGTTAGGTCAGTAAACACGTCACTGACCACTAGGAAACTGTGAGATCCATTTATCTTTTATTTTCTTAAGACTAAACCAAATTTCTCTCTTTTTACAGGATGACATGCAAGCCTTATTAGCAACTACAAAGAAATAAAAGTAAAAAACATCACCATGTGTCATAGAATAGTCCAGGAGTTACATGTTTCCAAAAGGAACTTCACAGTTAAGTTGTATAGTCATCTGAAATTATTGATTAAGTCATGAAGAGTTGTTGAGGAAGGTTACATCAGCTGATTAAACTTACATGTGATATATATTTTTAGACAACCATTTTGTATGGGCATTATTCAAGGCATTTTAATTGTTTGATACTTATTGTACCCCCAAAAAAGTAAAGTAATGGTGCTGACAGTGGAAAGGGTGTGATTGTTGGGCTGAAGTTTGTAAGTGGCTGAGAAGTTATGTATTGCACGTATTGAGTTTAGTGTATTAAAACCTGCATAACAGAAAAAAAGGAAATAAAATTGATACTGTTCTTCCCTAAGATTACGTTTGCAAGGAATGGGAAAGCATTTAACATATGAGAATATACTTTGTATCCCAGAGGTTGTAGAAGCTGATTTTTGCAAGGAAAAAATTTGAAGGTGATATTTAAGTACTTATAATACGTGCAATGCCAGTTTTCCAAACATTCTTCTTTTATGAGCAGTGAAGGTGCAAAGATCCAAGAGTAATTTTGTGGCAGTGCGATGAAAGAATGAGTTTGCATCAGTTTGTGTTACAGTGCAAAGAAGTTTTCTAATGATTGGTGTTGGAGAAATCTTTTCTAACTGATCATCAGAGGTATAGATAATTATGTAGTCTAGATAATCAGCTGGTATGAGAGCAATGAAGAAGACATTAGTTTTAGAACTTTGGGAAAGCCCAACATGGTAGAGTAAAGGTTGTATAAACTGAAGCATGTAAATTTAAGGAAAAAGGAAAAGACAAAAGTTAGTGCGGGATCAAGGTTAGAAGTTACCCTTCCATTTACCTTGACATTTTTTACTTGAACAAATAAGTGTATGAAATTCATGTTATTATCATGATTATGATTTTTATTATTATATTTGTTACTATTGAACTATAACTGTTATCATTGTCATTGTTAATATCAGATATTGTTATTGCTGTTGTGTTGTTTTTATTTTTTGTTACTTGCTGATACATTGTCATGGTCAATATTATTTTATTTTCATTTTTGTTTTCATTTTTTTCTGTTATTGTTTTTGTTACTATTTTTTGAGTGAAGGATGGACAGGGTGTTTTTTTTTTCTATAAGAAAAATATTTTTCAAGCTGTGAAGCAAAGGTTGGTGGTCCAAAATTATTAAAAATCTCTGTTTAAGGAAAATGGATTTATCCAGGACAAAATTTTATTTTTATTGTATCAGTATTATTATTAACTTGAAATTACAGTATTAGAATTCCATGTGTGTTGAATATAGGTGCTGAAAGAGAAATTTTACAAAATCACCAAATACAAGTTTAGATTCCAAAGGTACCGAAAAGAGACATCACTTTCGTGCATGTTTCACTGTATGTACAATAGCATTTTTGGTTGCAGAATTCAAAGAGAAGATATTGTGCTTGAAATTTTTTATTTAAAGTTTCAATGCAATGCACTTTTAATGGTTCTTTTGATACAGCCCATAGGTGATATATTACACAGTTCATGTATACTCCCTTGTATGTTACAACTTGTAACATAAGATTGCAATAAGCATAGTAGAATTTGTTCATGAAGTAAGCTCATAAGTGAAAAATGAGTACACAATATACAAGGAATCTAGATTGAAGTGTACTTTTACAAGGAAACTATTTTGAAGTGTACTTTTAAAGAATTTACTTAATTTTGCAGCTTTACAAGCAACAAATATTTTTTGTTGCTAATTATGTCCTTGCTCTTCTTTTCATTTTCTTTTTTTACAATAGCATTAAGCATTTACCCCAGTTTTCATTTTGTTGTGCTTCTGTTGCCAGATTTTTTTTCTTTTTTTTTTATGCTTTTTGGTGTCTTTTTATGGGGCATTTGCAAAAGCTCAGCTTCTGACTTGCTTACATTTATGTAATTCTGTATTATGTTCTGTTTGCTATTTTGTATTTAATACCTATTGTAATATCTGGGTTAGGAGTGAATGATCAGATGTTCACCATGTTTATTTGCAGTCATTTACACAGAAATTACATCTGCGTTGTATTTTTTTGGGGGGGAGGGG